TCAGCACCAGTTTGTTATTGTATGTGCCATGGAAACTTTTTAAGAGTTTGAAGCGCCTGTGATAAATTCTACACCTTTCTCAGCGGTCTCCTTGTCCACCACTATTAAGACTGACGCGTTCCCTGATATAATTTCTTGCTAAGATTTTGTACCTCTCGGTTGCCTATAAAATTCGTGAAGGCACAGCCACTGTTTTTGTTAAGCTTGCGTCCTGTTTTGATCTTTAGATTCCAAAGGAAACCCACGCAGCATGACGAACTCCAAAGGAAAGAAACGCCAAGTGAATGGCAAAGAACTTGGTGCAGCTCTGAAGACAAACGACGCGCTGTTCGTGGACTTTATTAGAGGCTGCTTAGAGTCAGAATAGTTTTATTTATTTCATCACAGTCCACTTCAAATCCTCTGTTATGTTTTCAAAAGTCACCAGTTTCAAATCGTTTTCATAAATCTCCGTTTTGATCAGCGTTCTTACTTTTCAACTCCAGAAACGATGCGTTTCCAAAATACTCCTCCTTTGAAACAATTTGCAAAGCTTTCGTTTAAAATTTGCGGCGTTTTCGAACAGTTTAGTGAGCAGGATAGGCGAGAACGCACCAAATTTCTGCGTTTTCAAACAGAAACGCGTTTGTGTGGATAGGATCCAAAATTCTTACGGGTGCTGGCGTCTTTATTTCATACCTGTAAATGACCATGCCATTGAAAAGGTTTTTTTTTTTTTTCTAGATGGGATCCAGCAGCTCGTTTGACTCCTGACGAAGCTATCCAGCATGAATGGATACAAGAGGTAAGGACGCTTATGAACCCCTCCCTAAGAAGCTCTCGATTGTTTAACAAATTCTCCTTCTCAGTGCCAAAGGAAATATATATAGAACAATATGGAGAATATGCATACTGATGTTAGGGTGTAAAGGGTCAGAGATCAAGCCTCCCTTCTGACGAATATTGATTAAGTTAAACCTTGTTACATAATGCCGATATGGTGTTGTGGGCAAATGATTGCGTCCGGGTGGTCGCGAGGGGAATGGGAAGCAAGGAAGCGTTCCTCGCTCGATTCCGCGTAGAAAAGTACTAGCCAGCGAAATCCTGCTACCCCGTGCGGGTCATGTTTGGTTCTAATCGTGCTCTGTCATATCCTTTTGCGAAATTCGTTCTTTTCGTGTTTTCTGATGTTTTATACCACTACAAGAACTAGTTTGATCGTATGAGGCCTACTAGAATACGCTCGCTGAGGACGGGAAGTCCTGAGGACTCGAAAGAGCCTGCCGCGAGAAAGCGCGCGTGTCTTACCTTGCGTGCGCCGTTCTAAATCACTCTCAGCAAATTTAATCGAGTTCTCACTACGCAGATAACAATAACTTAACAATTAACAGATACAATAACTCTAATTGCTTTAGTGTTTTTCCTCTGTTTTGTTTGTTTATTCTATCGTACTTTTCCAGGGACGTCAAAGACATCGCGGGACATCTCGCCTCACTTCCCGACAGAAGGCCGCTGCGGATGCACTCAACCCTACAGAGACAATTCCAAAAGGACCTACCACAATTCCTGCAGAGCCAAGCAAAGGACACGCTGAAGCTAGCTTGACGAAACGGAGCGCGCGAACGCGGGAAAGATTACAGCCAATCGGAGCAGACGCCTCGCATACTGCTCACCATGACAAGAAAAATAATATCACCAAACAGGCGGAGTCTGGGACCGAGACAAAAGGAGCAGGGGTACCGCTGACTAAGAGAATCACTTCAGAGGTCGTGAAGGAGAAACCTGGCACAGCGAGTAAAGCGAATGATATTGAAGGAGAGAGAACTGATGAAACGACTGTAGCTGAAGGAGGACAATTCTTACCTCCTATTAAATGAATGAATTGATTTAAATCGCTTCAACGAGAAGGGATATACCTTAACTTTTAACTGCAATACCACATTCGATGCATCGAAATTGAATTTGACTCGCGAGCTGCGAATTCTTCACCTACCGAGTTTTGTCATTGGAACTGATTTTTATTCGGTGTTCTTTTGATTTTTTTCTTTCTTAAATTAACCTATTATTTTCTGTCTGTGAATTTAGTTTTCCTCCTTTACACTGCTATTATTTTAAACAAACAGAGCGCAGGTTATGAAATACATCGGTTTTGATATATGGAATGTGGTGAGAGTACAACATTGTTTCCTATTTTCCTACAACGGGTTTAATTAGATCTCGTCTAGAAGAAAATTCCTCATTTTGAAAGGATACTGATCAAAATTTTGTCAAAGAATTAATCGTTCGTAAATTGTACTTCGGATTGTTACACCCGCAGGAAACATTTTACCTCATTCGCCATTGACATTGTAAAGTAAGCAAAGGTTTCGTAACAAAAAGTTCAGAACATGTACATAAGTTTAACAACAAAAGAAGCGGTATTCATAATTTTTTTTTTTTTAACTTGATTATTGGAATCTTTCTACGATTGAGAGATGAGAAAATACTTTCGAGGAGAGAAGACGCTTTTTTTGCTCAGACCAGAAAAAAATCTTAAACCAATGTGGACAGAGATGTATAAGTGTCTTAAACAAAAAAGAAATTGTCGCCGTTTGGAGTTTTACAGAGTGAAATTATTTATGTTGTCTTTTAATTGAAAGACGAAAAAAAATTGTACATTTAATTTTGATATACGAGTGCTTGGATATTTAATTCACGAGAGGTGTTTTAATATATTTGATGAATTGTGTTAATATATTTTTATACATTATTTATTGAGAGAAACAAAGTCAGAGTGATTATTTAAGTGTGGTATAAAAATGGCGTGCTGCGAATAAACGTGGTTATTTACTAAGCTCGAAAACCATTGAAATGTTTGGGATACAGTGGAACATTTTTTGGGAGACCGGGTAAGGAAATCTATGGGGGTCCGTTCTGGTCAAAATTATATTAATTATTTTGACTAATACAGAATTAATAAAACTTTTTGTTCAGTTATTTTTGTGGTGTCTTATAAATAATTATATCCACTCTTCGAATTTTTTTAACCTATTTGACATCTTATTATTTACTTCTTTTAAGACTGGAATTAATTTTACCTGTCATTGCGGGCTGAGGGGAATCCCATACTCCATTGCTCACCCTCATACAATATGGCGGCTGGTGCTTGTGGAGCGATTCCCAGAAGGATCAAATTATCAGAATTGCAGAAAGTGCAATAGAAACTATAACTCAACTTTCAAACGTAGTGGGAAGATGAAAGCCTGCTCCTGTTCCAGCTCGAAGTAATAGGTGCAGTTCGCGTTCAGAAAACGCCGTCGATGAACTACATCGCAGATCTCCAACCGCAGGTTCAAGATTTTCCAGAGGATCAAGGTCAAATTATCCGCCAACTTGCGGGAAGTTGTATATGGATATTTTCAGGAATACAAATTCGTCAACATTGCCTTCTTTAACACTAATGCTCTTGTTGTTTCATCACTTTTACCAAAGCATGAAAATGTTTATAATTATATAATTTCACATCTGACTGAATTAAAGAAATTGAATGGAAAGTCAGCAAATAGAGTAAAAATGGCACTTCTGTTATTCAGAAAATAACTACCAGTGCTGTCTCATTATGCAGATGATTTCTTTTTTTGATGACTGTTTGATCAGCATTTAACTGTTTCGACAAACTGTTTTACAGACAAGGCCTCTCTTTTGGTGTTACTGGAAAAAATCTCGCAAAGTTCCCACATATTGTCACATGGGGTTCACTGAGATCCAATCAACATTTGACTTTTGAAACAAGTAATGGTTTGCATTTTCAACTTCCATTTGATCAGTGGATCTATTGAAACGAGAGATTAAAGGAATTTTTCCAGAATAAGTTTACCTATAGCATAGATGCATGACCTATTTTGACTGTTATAATTGTGGATGCACTTGACCTAGAGAAAACAGTGTAGGATTGCGTTTACTACTCGGCTGTTGTAAGAAGTTAATATGGGATACATGCATTGAGTTTTTACAGAAAATGTCCATACCTCCTTCACCATCAGTCAAATCTTCTACCCTGCTACCACCCACCTTCCAGGACAATATTCATAATAAATTACAAAATCCCCACCCTGACTGGGTAGGGATATTTTCTAGTATCATTGATGGTTCTTGTTTATTGTTCCTGTTTGTATAGTAAAGTAGTTTTAATCCAAGAAAAATAAAATTTAAACTTAGAATAAAATTGACTCACAACACACACTGTCTGCCTCCATGGAAACTGGAACAGAAATCTTATATTAAAATGCTGTCCCTTGCTTACTTTAAGTGATTCCATAAATGGAACACACATCTAATGCCTACATCCAGATATCTTCCATCTGCTCATTATGCTGTCAATGTTGCTTGATTTACATGGTCTAAAGTTCTACCTCAAGAAAGAATGAATTAACTCTACACATTGCTTGCAAATATTAACTCCACAGTTCTCATCATTTTGCAGTAGACTTGGCATTTGGGTTAACTGTTGCTCAGTTAACTCAATTGTTGGAGGGATAACATTAACCTGGTAATGGTCTTCTTTAACTAACAGTGCACCCTCTAGATCCACCCCAAAGTTTTCAATTTCTTTTGATGAAAGTGCAGTGTGCCCAGAATGCATGTACTCTAACATTCCCTTTTCCCACATCTGTAAGGGTGATTGGTTGTTTTCAGTTGAAACTGGGTGATTGTTCATTTGCTGAATAAACTCATTCAAAGATCTATTGATCCTGGGAACATAGACATGGTGAAGGCTGAATAAATGAACATCATCCGATAATTTTATGTCAAGAATGCTTTCATTTTTCATTGCCTCAAAAATGCGTACATAAAAGGCGAGCACTCCAGAGTAAACATCTCGATGAGCTCTTTCAACTCTGGAGTTGTGCACTGAGGATCCAGTGATTATGCTTCCTCTGCCTTCTCCACGGTGTTCAATCATGTATTGGCCAACATAAAAGTTTTCCATTCCATAGTCACAGCAAACACGTGAACGTAGTCCCCACTGTTCCACCCCATTTTGGAACAAAGAGAGCACTGTATCAGCCTTTTTGTTGTTGCAGCATGAAACATAAACTAACAATCTGGTCTTGCCATCAATGCAAACATGAGTGATCAGTTTGTATCGTATAAGTTTGTGCCCAGAATCTATATGCCAAAGGCTGTTAGGTGTTGGAACAAAATATTTTCTGTGATGAATTGTCATTCTCCATTGCAAAGCAGTGCCAATGGGATCAACGCGGCCTAAGCACTCACTAACTCTTCATCTTTGAATTCGTAAACCACGGCTTCTCAATGCACCAATGAACCTCCTCCTTCCCATATTAGGGGTGAGGGGGCCTTCACGTGAGTTATCTCTTACACTTGCATAAATCTGACCTATTTCATAATCTGTTATGTCTGAATAACGATCAAATTCATCACTCAGCCCAAACTCCCTGCGCCTTCGCTGGATGGTAGAAACACTCACCTGCGGCATATTTGCTATTTTTTTCCAAGAGAAAAAAAGTGAGCGCAAGTGTTCGAGCTGGACCCTAGCAGTGATCGGAATTTTCAGCCCGCTATCTACTCTCTATCTCGGCTGGCAACATGTAAAAGTCCCTCTGGCATCTAGCAGATGATGTCTTCCTTCAACTAAAGCATCGGTTGTTAAATTTCCATTCCCAGGAGTCAGGAAAAGCCGAAACACTGCCTTCAAATTTTTCAGAAAATTACGAAAACCTCGTTCAGTTCTCTCTCGAAAAACAACGTTCCTGGCCGCTATCTTGGAATTATTCTCAGGGGCTATGGGATTCAACTCATCCCGCAATGAGGTATGGGATTTGCTGAGAAATTCGTGCATGAAGGAAAAAATAATTGAAGAAAGGAATGACAAAAAATGAGACAGGTAAAATTAATTCCAGACTTAAAGAAGTAAAAAATAAGATGTCAAATAGGTAAAAATAATTCGAAGAGTGGATATAATTATTTACAAGACACCACAAAAATAACTGAACAAAAAGTTTTATTGATTCTGTATTAGTCAAAATAATTAATATAATTTTGACCAGAACGAGCCCCATAGAAATCAATTACTGTAAATTCCTCAAGCCATAACTGTAATTAGAAATTCAGTTCTTGTGATGCGAGTACTAAATGATCAAAACTGAAGAACTTGGTGCATTTTCTACTGAGGCACGAGTCGTTCAGAGCAGCTAACAAGAAGTAGAAGTATTTTAGAACTGGCAGTTCTTTGTACGTTTATGGCTACCTACAAATACGATTGTAAAGACGAGACAGACCATTTTGTAACTGTAAAGAAAAAAAAGAAAATCTCTTTTTTAACATGGAAATATCTTGTCATGCGCAGGGTGCAATAAATTGACTGACTGCGATTATTTTTCCGGTGTGAACATAGTACTAACTATGGAGTGAATGAAGGGAGAGGGAAACGTGGTAGTCTGGAACCTAATTCGCTTGGGTTCTTGGTCGGATGTCGTGACATCGTGACAGACCGGGCTTGAGCCATCAAGCACGGTTAACGATAGCACAGCCGCAGGCTTCCTCTTAAAGGTCAGGTGTAACAACTTCGCACTTATACACACAATCTCAGATATAGTTTTTTTAAGTTGTCAGCCTTAAAAAGCCTTAAAATTGATTAGGGAATTACCCCGCGGTCCTTAATAGTCACGCGATATATGGTCACGCAATATCATTGTGGTCGTGCTTATGAGCACGATTCTGAAATAACGGGCTAGCACTGTAATTCACTGCATTAATTTTGGAATGGCCGAAGAACCATTTAGCGTCCAGAAGGTGCAAGGGTACGAAAATGTGTATTTGTTTCGGGAGAGGTTTTTTGATTCTCCAAATCAAGCTAACATTTGGCTGGTCAAAGGCACGAAGAAAGATTTAGTCATCGACACAGGGATTGGATTGTGGGATCTCCCTGGTTTCCTCAAACAAGAAGCTTTGATCGGCGACAAACCTGTAGAAGCCGTGGCTACTCACGTTCATTTTGATCACTCAGGAGGACTTCACCAGTTCGAAAACTTCGCTATTCACAGCCGGGAGGCCGAAGCCATTCGCGGTGGAAACAACTACGAAACAGTCTCTATTTTTACAACCACGGCCGAGATTTCTGTTCCCCCTTACAAGGGATGGAACATTCAGGACTACCATGTGAAACCAGCTTAGCCTTTCGAAGTTTTAGAAGAAGGATACGAATTTGATCTTGGAGACCGAAAATTGCGTGTGCTTCATTTCCCCGGTCACTCCCGAGGCAGCATCGGGTTAATAGATGAACAAGCTCGGATCTTGTTCAGCGGTGATACTATGTATGACGGATATGTGATAGACTGGCTCCCTTACAGTGATATTACTGCATATGTTCAGACGTGCGGAAGACTTCAAGAACTGTCTAGCCAAGTAGATAAAGTTTTTCCCGGCCATTTTAACTCATTTGATGGGAAACGACTCCGTTCGTTAGCTACTGAGTATATCTCCAGAGCTGGGGCTTGTCACAAAGTTTCTTCAGCTCTGATGAAGGGTATTGCCACCATGGTGTTAAAAGCTAAACATTCTGGTAACATCCCCGCGAAGTTTTGTTACCACGCTTGTTGCTGCTGTTGCTGCCTGGTGTAAATTTGATGAGCCTGTTGGGGTATTCCACAGACCTCCCCCCCCTAAGCCTGTTGGGGTATTCTACAGACCTCCCCCCCCCTCCCCCCACCCACTCAGAAGAAGGGGTACTTCCTTTTAAAGGTGTAGAACATCTCTTTTTCTTTCAGGGGATAATTTGTGTGAATTGTCGCTTACTTTTTCGTTTTTATGAACCTGAAATGACAACAACTAGTGATGTAGCAGTACCTCATAGAGATCTGAGGTTGTTGTTAAAAAGAAGTGTTCAAAACTGTTACTATAAATAAAATTCCCTTTTTTTCAAAATCAAATGCTCATTGCCAAAAGCTACCTGAGAATTATTTCCTCCTGGGGGTGAAAACAGACCTTCCCGCCCACCCCACTCAGAAGAAGTCCATCCTTTTAAAAGTGTAGAAAATCTCTTTCTTTCAGGGGACAAAATCTTTGAATGGTTGCTAGCTTTTTAGGCTGTATGAACCTAAAATGACAACAACTAGGGCTGTAGCAGTACATCATAGAGATCTGAGGTTGTTATAATAGAAAAATTCCTTTTTTGTTTCAAACGTTCACTGCCAAAAGCTGTTTGAGAATTGTTTCCTCACAGGCCGATGAAAACAGATTTGGGCCATGCCCAATAAACAAGATGCAGTAAGACTTGAACTGTCCCATATCTAAAATTGAGTTCTCTTCACTGTCAATCACACAATTCTTAAATGTCAGTAATAATAATAGTAACACCTTTATTTAGACACGATGTTTAAAGCTGAACAGCTTGTGGGGTGTGTGTAAATCTAAATAAACTCTAAATTAAATAAATTCAAGTGATGATGGTTTTTGAGGAGAGGGGAAAACTGGAATACCCGGAGAAAAACCTCTCAGAGCTGAGTAGAGAACCAACAAACTCAATCCACTTATGACGCCGGGTGGTGTTGAATCCAACCCAATCTCACTGATTGATACATTGCCATCTCATCATAACCTTGCTTGAAAATGTTATGATATATATTGTAAGGAGAAATTCGGTTTTTGGTCACTTCTAGTGAGAAAGGAAAGTGACTCAAAGAATAAGAAGGCTATCAGAGATTTCCTGAAAGGTGTCCTTGTTATAAATTAATTCATGGGTGAGGGCCTTCCAGGAACAGGGACCCCTTTTATAGGCCTAGCCCTGGAGTAAAATGTGCTTGTTAGGTAGATAATCTAGATAGATAGTTCATTGATAGATGCTGTACAGCCAAAAGTTGAATAATATGATAACTACTGGGTACTTAAAAATTTATACTGATATATACATAAAATGGACTACCAGTTGTTTAAAACAAGTTTGTTCAAGAATATGTTGTTTGTAAATAAAATATGTTGAAGAAATGTGAAAGTCCAGTAAAATCATTCCGGCTTGAAGGGCATTAAAAGTTATTAAACTGTTACAAAACCTGTAAGTCTTGAAGACTCTGTATGTTCTTGGGTTCAAGGCACATACAAGTGGGAAGGCCATTGAGCTTTTGGCTGTTTTCTCTAATAATTAATTAATAATTAATGTTAATAATCTAATAATTAATGTTTTCCCTAACTTCCCTGAAATAGTTTATCAAATATTTCTTGACAGTGGTCTCAAATTTTTTATTGAGCAAGATTCAACCGATGCCTCATTATATAAGTAAAAAGGAAAGAAGAGGCTCATTGCACACTTTTTTACTTCTTCAAGCTAATAATAATAACAATGATAGATTTCATATATGGCATATTCCCGAAGTGGCTCTTCATCTGCTGTTTCCTGGTCAAAATTGGAACCTGGAGTGTTGGTTTTTTTGGTGTGGACCATTGGTCTAGCTCTAGTATGCATTGGTGGTGTAAAAACTCAGGCCAAAGAATCAACGGTTTCATGTTTAATTATTTAATGCTTTATACGAATACTTTCGCTTACAATCATGAGTCATGAGGGGAACAACGTGAAAGCAAATGGGCTTAACCCTTTGATCTGTAAGAGTGACAAGCATCTAATTTCTCCTTACAATATCACCCCTGAAGCATGCATTTAAAGTCGTGAGAAAAGAGGAAATAATCACCAATTACAGGGGCTCATGATTGTCAAACAAATTCTCTTTGTCAGCACCTTAGGAAAGTTCTAGTGAACAGTATGGAGAATATGCATACTGACATTAGGGTGTAAAGAGTTGTTATTGTACATTCTCTTACACCATACCTACAGACAATAAATTTTATACATGTAGAATAGAAGTGATGTCATACCTTCAGACAATAGTTTTATGGGCTCTTGTCTTTAAAAGTGCAGCTCCGGAATATGCTTAACAAAACAATCATTGGATTTGGTTTCCACAAGATAGCAATAATTACTAAGGCCTCAGTTTGTGTTATTCGCCTCAGCCTTCAACTTTGGCAGATAACACAAACTTTGGCCTTGATAATTCTTGCTACCATGCTCAACCTCATCCAAATAATTGTTAGTTTTCACATTTTGAGATTAAAAAAGCATATTACCTAATTATCCAAATTTCTCTTTCATAACTTTAATTACCAGTATACAAAAAAGTCTGTCAGGAAACTTCTTGACATAAACAAAGTGCAGTTATTTCCTTTAATATATGCAGTGCCTAATGTCTTTTTACAAAAGCATTGATCTTTCATCAGTACTGGCTGTCTATAAGATGAAAATGTCAGTATCCATGTAGGAATTAATCAGTTTTTCAATGCAGGAATTTGAAAATGACCCTTACTCTAAAAATCAAAACACCGTCTTTGCTTGATGAAACAAATGGCCTCATCAAAAAATGTTTCAAGTTTATCAGCTGTATCCTTATCTCTTTATCAGCTTTATTAAACGTAACAAAATTTACATGACAGTCCCAAGCTTAGAGGTGATGTCAATCCTACTTCACTTCTCATTTTCACCTTCTTTTCCAGAACAGCCAGTGTAAGAGAACGGGATTAATGATTGTGAAAGCAAAGAAAATCATTTTGGACCAAAATCCCACTGAGTTATGTTCAACATTTCTCTCCAGTTCATTAACTCTGCTATTTAGACGCTGTATCTGCAGGATGAATTTTCTTGAGTCGGGAGAGTCACCTCCCATGTAATGACCAACATCACTGTCACTGTCTAAAGGAGTTCCTTCATCTATCACCTCTAAACCAACAGCAATGCTGTAGAAAGAATCAATTCAGTTGAGAAGGAAAAAAAACAAAAAAAACCTGCTCAGAGCGATACTATGCACTCTCTATCCAAAGGCATACTTTTATGGAGCTCATGGTGGGGGGGCAGGGCTCAACACTAATGGTAGCCCACTAGCCATAGACTAGTAGAAATTCAGTTTTGACTCGTGGTTTTCGATTTCCACGAGCCAGTTTGGCTAGTAAACAAACTGAAATTGTCGTAACATCTAAGATGTAACTAGCATGCTGCCAGGCACTTGGCTAGTAAGTTGAAAGTTAGGNATGATGTGGGTTCTTTAACGTCCCCTGCCGAAATTAACTAATAAAGTTAGTAATAAGGGGTTGAAAAGGTCAATGTGTCAACAATTTTGTTGATGATCACAGAGAGCATTTTTAGTCGTTTTTACAGCCGTAAAATATCATTACATCCCAACAAATACCAGTAAGATAACACCAACGCCCTCCCCCTCCACCCTAGCTAGAAAGTCCTGCCAGTAACCTTAAACTTTTTAGTTGTTAATTGTAATAGTAGAAGTCTTCACAAAAATAATTAAATCAATAAATGTACCCAAAACAAACATGCAAGGTTCAAGAGAGATAGGCATTTGAAAAAAAAAAAAATGCTAGCATGGCTACAAAACAGAATTATTCGACCAATTGTGTCTTTGGTCTATGATGTTTGCACGATAATAACATGATTTTGAGAACAATTTGGTGTTAATAAATAAGATTACATTTGTAATACTCGTGTATCAACTTTGCAGTTGTGTTAAATGAAAAATGCAACCGTTTTCAGCCAATAAGAAGCGGGTACTTTTTTCATGCATATTATTATTATCTTAATCAAACTAAAAGAATATTCTCTTTTTAACCAAGGATCAAATATATGAATCTCGATCTCAAAATATCAACCTTATTTTCAAACAAATAACATGTATGGTCAATCTTTAGGCAAAGAGGGGGCAAAACAGGACCATCGAGCCTTTACTGAAAACAAAAAACCAATATCATTAGTTTTAACACACCTTTCATCGTCAATATCTCTAACGGCATTCGTTCTACGCTCTCTGTTTCCACGAGCTGCTGTTGGCGATCCACTTACAGGCGCAGTGCTAGTTTGAGGATAATGCGCTGATTTTGTATCGTCAACGGTCAGAGTTCGTGGAGGAGTTATCATGCTACTCAAAGAGTTGACTGCCACCATTTCATCTTTTAAATCTCTCGGAATGTCACTTTTGGGCGAGTACGAACCAAGTTCGATTCTGTCAGGGATCGACATGGGCACTCCATCGCCTGGAATCTTTTTCGGTCCGTTTGATTGGTGATCTTCTTCACCTCCTGGTACAGTGATGGTCTGCGGGATCCTCATTTTTCGCGAGAGATCTTCGTTGACTCTTCCGTCTGGGAAATCAAACGGTGTGTTTGAAGAAAACTCGGATGTTATCCCCGCCATTTTGTTGATTTCAAAGGGATCTGACGGAATCTGACTGGATCTGACGGATGATCTGACAACCCAATAGACACTGGTCAGCAGTATCTCCAGAAAGCTTATTTCTTATGTGGTGTATGACTCATATAGTAGTGTGCCAGGATAAGTTACAACGGCTACATGATATAACGCGTGTCTGATTGGCTAATAGTTTACGAAAAAGAAATGGTGGATCACAGAGATGGTTCACGCTGACACCATTGTCTCAAAAACCTAGAGTTACTCTCGGCTGCACCTCGAGCAACCTTACGCTTCTCTCTTGCTCTCCAAACTGCCCGCGTGTATTCATCATTCGATACTCGCACGCTAAAAATGAAACAATTCTTTCAAAAGGGGTAAGTTTCTCAAGAAACTGTGGAGTTCCGTCGGTTGGGGGGGGGGAGGAGGGGTAATATACGATAATATGGTTTTATCGACTGAGTTTGGAATTTAAATTAGCCAGAGTTTCTGTAGCTGACGCTTATGTGTTAGCTCTTCTTCAGAGCCCTTCGATTCGCTCTACTGAGTGACAAAGGGCTAACGCTCGAATCGTCAGCTTTAAAAAATCTTTACGGGGACCAATTTACATAAAAAACTAAATTTTTAAAATCAAATTATATTGTTAACATATCAGTTTGCTCAGGTTAGCTTTCACATGGCTTTCTTTTGTAAAAAAAAAAAAGGCGTAAATGGGAAAGAAATCATTCATATTCGTGAACTGAGGAATCCTAAGTTAAAGACTTGCTAAATATTATCTTTAAGTTAGTATGATTGCTCCGAAGATACAATGATATAGTAATTGCTCGATACGAGTTATTAAAACAATGGTAACGGAAAGGTATCTGAAAAAAAACATACTGCTACACAGCATTTGTTATGTCAAGGAAGAATGGCCAAATTGGTGCGCCAGGTCCGCTACAACAATTCGTCCTAAATGAAATACTCTTTGGGTGTGGTTATGTTGGAAATCTGTGGGTACTCTGCAGAAATAGAGTCTATTTCAATTATC